TAAAACTCATGGAAAAATTACTGACGTCAGTGGAAAGATTTCTAGGAATATCACTGAGGATTGGGATTGTGCTTTTCCTTTGAAAAGTCCTTTGTTTCTGAAACACACTGTCTGAAACTCTTCATTCTTTGTTAGTATTTAACTGTCTTATTTCTTAGTAATTAGGTAGAAACATAAACTATAAATCCAAGAGACTACTGTAATAATTTAGTCTGAACTCCTGTGCTAAACCAATAACTAGGACTAGTTAATGCCTGCAGTCATCTCATCAGTAATGTTGAGAAGTGAGTGTTAAATAGTGCCAGCCCCAGTACCCACCCCTGGGGAACCTGGCTCATCACTGGTCTGTACCTGGACACTGAGTTATTGCCTGCAACTGCTTGAGGGCAAACACCTAGACAGCTCCTTATCCAGTGAGTGCTACAGCCATCACATCCATGTCCCTTCAACTCAGAGACAAGGATGTTGTGTGCAACACTGCCAAAGGCTTTGCACAATTCCAGGTAGATTATGTCAGTTGTTCCTCCCTTATCCACCAGTACTGTAACCCTGTCATAGAAGGCCACCAAATTTGTCAGGTGTGATTTGCTCTTAATGAAGCCATGGTGTCCCCAATTGCCTCTCTGTTTTCTACATGCCTTATCATAGTTTCCAGGAAGATCTGTTCTGCAATCTTGCCACACACACAGAGATGAGACTGACTGGCCTGTAGTTCTCCTAGTGTTTACTTTTTCTCTTAATGGACACACAATTTTCCAAATCCATTTGAAACTAACTTAAGACAAGCTTTGTTTCATCTTGAAACAGCCATGGGCTCTTTTTTAAAAATATAATCTGATTAAATCTAAAATCTAAGTAGTATGGGATTATGCATACCAAAGTCATCGCAGGGAATAATCTTCAAAGTGCATATATAAACTTTGATCTGTATGGTTTAAAATTATCTGAAAATAATCTGCCTAGCTGTGCCATAATGTTAGAGAAACAGAGAGAAACTAGTATTCCCTGCATTGTTTTGCCAAAAAACAGAAGGACGCTTGCTTTATTAACCAAATTTTTTTGTGATAAACACATTCCTTGTCACTGCATTATTCCTGACTGGTTTTGGTTGTTTTTTTTTTTACAAGTGTACTGATGTGTTTTTGATGTGTCTGTGCATCAGGCTTCATTAGAACAAACACTGCTCTCAAGAATATACTACAGTACACAGGTTATTCAAGCTGTAAGAGATTTTAATTGATGTAAGGAGGTCATTCTTCCTCTGAAATGCAAAGCACCTCCAATTTATATGAACATAAGAGGAACTACAGTGTTTTGCAGCAAGGATCCATGTAGTCTGGTGTCTGCCTGAACTATGGCCACAAGCAGACACTCAGAACTCAATGAGACCAGGGAAAGAGCTTCTGTGAGCAGTCCCCCTGGAGTACTTCCCTGGGTTGTCTTAACTTTCCTCACAAAAAGTAGCAGGTAATTATTCTCAGAGTGATTCAAGCATCCTGCAGTGTTGGTTCTACCAGGATTAGAAACTGTGAACTGAATGGTGAGAAGCATTTATTTACACTCATTTTCTTTACTTAAAGTGAGGTTGACATGTATGTTTCCAACGGACTAACCCAGCTGAAGATTAATGGTGTTCAAACCCCAACAGATGTTCCATACACATCTAAGTCTGGTAGGAGACTCACCTTTATATTTTGTTTAATCTTTTCTGCTCTTTTGAAATATTACATGATCTTGAAAGCCCCTCTCAAGATAGAGATCATTCTATTACGAGAAACAATTAGATGATTTCATTATAACTTCATCCTGACTTTCACTGGAGTGATAGGAAAGATGGGCAAAGAAACAGATGCCAATCCTGTGTATCTGTAAACAATGTAGTGCAAGGCTACGGTCCCTTGTGATGTCCACAGAGACTCACAGAACGGGCAACCAGATCTCCCCCAGCCCTACCCACTGACTGCAGTAAGGCCCCAAGAATTTGACCTGTGGTTAAGGTTGGATCCTAAAATACTAACCTCTCATTTCGCTCGTTTGTTGCAGGTCTGCTGATAAGCAGTGAAAAGGAAGGCTTGTCATTAAAAGCCCCTGAATATGGTGTAGAAAAACTATACTATGATGGACATAAACTTGAGGTATTTTTTTATTATTGTTTTTGAAGGATTTATTTTTAGAAGAAAAACACCTAAGAGTGTCTTTTCTTTATTTCCACAAAGATTCAGGTTGCTTTCTGGATGGTTGGAAAAACATGTGGTATTTGTGGAAAATATGATGCTGAGAAGAAAAGGGAGTATCAAATGCCCAGCGGATATTTAGCTAAAGATGCAGTGAGTTTTGCTCAGTCCTGGGTCATCTCAGAAGACGTATGTACTGGAGGTATTTAGATTCCATCATTACTGCTTACTAATTAAATAGTCACATGAGTAACTGTAAGATTTACATACCTAATTTGTGTTATCATATTATTTTTGTCATTACTCTTCTTGCAATGAATGGAAAGTTAAAAATATTTTTTTCCTGAGTTTGGCAGTTCACTGCAAAATCTGGATTTGTTGCATTCTTGTGTAACTTCTTCCACATTACCAAGCTAGTTGAAATGTGTGTGTTCTAGATATAATTATAAACCTAAATCTTCCTAAGTTGATAAATTAATATGAAGGCGAGGTAGTTTGACGGTTGACAAAAGATAAGGTGTCTGTCCATAATAGTTGGGGGGTTTTTGTTTCCTTCTTTCTTTTTTTTTAATTTCCACTATGTTATTTCAAGCTTTTAAATCCCATTAAAAGATATACACATATCTAGCTCTGGCTAAAAACACAGAGGGAACCTGAGGTGGGAAATAATTATTTTAATTTACTCAGGCTAAAGGTGAAATTAATCTGAAAATTTCAGCCTGTGAATGACTGTTCTTCCCATTTAGCTCCTGTACAAAAACATCAGCATGAGCATAACTGGACACAGTAGGGTATGCTGCATTTTGTACGGGAACCAACTCTGGGGGCAAGCTGTGGCGTTTTTGGAACATATCCTTCCGTCAGTCTCCCTTGAGGACACTGGTCTAAGCATGCTCAGCCATGGCAAGGCTGTGATGACAGGCACAGTGCAGAAGTGGATGTATGGATGTGTAGGAGCCACAACAAAACTTCAGTGCTGTCACAGTTTGGGTAAAGCTTAGTGTCAGCTGAGCAAGGTTTTCACAAGTGTCTATCTTTTCTGATTTCTTCACCTGTGCCTGTGCTGGGCATTGTATCCCAAATGCCCCATTCTCTCACAGAGTTTGTCAGAAAACAGCCTTCCCTTCAATGAGAGTAGTTTTATATATCTTGTGTCCTTCAATATATTCACTGCTATGTAATGTGTAGTACTACATATACAAATACAACAGTTATTCTCAGAAATTCTCTAGTTTATTTAAAAGAATTCATGTTTTATAGCTTGCAAGCTGCAGAGGAAGTTTGTCAAAATTGAGAAGCCAGTTGCATTTGACAAAAAGGCCTCAAAATGCTTTTCCATTGAGCCAGTTTTACACTGTGCAGAAGGCTGTTCAGCAACCAGGACTGTTCCTGTCTCTGTTGGTTTCCACTGTGTACCATCTGGTGAGTATACAAACTCTGTACTTGTGCAACATGTGACAGTGCATGTGTTAGAGTGCAATTCCTCAGGCTCAAAGGAGACCTTGCTGTTCTCTACAACTTCTCAAAGGAGGTTGTGGTGAAGTGGGGATCAGCCTCTTCTCCCATATAACTAGTGATGATGAGAGGTAAAGGCCTTAAGCTGCATCAGCAGAGATTCAGAATGGATACTAGGAAAAAATTATTCTCTGAAAGAGTAGTGATGCATTGGCACAAGCTGCCCAGGGAGTTGGTGGAGTCATTGTCCCTGAAGGTGTTCAGAAACCATGTAGATGTGGCACTGAGGGACATGGATTAGTGGGTGTGGAGGGGATGGTTTGATGGTTGGATTTCATGATATTAGAGGTCTTTTCCAATCTTAATGTTTCTATGATTCTATGATTCCTACCCTTAGGCTGCTCCCTACTCCTCCTCATCACCACAGTGAAATACAAAACCATAGTCCACCTTAAGGCTCCATGGGATACAGATACACAGGCTCAGTTTGTGTGTATAGGAGAAAAAGCTCAGTCTCAGGCAGTCTCAGGCATCTCATTTCACCCTCTCTGGATAAAAAATGAGGATGTAATATTTCAAAATGTTTGCACACCAGCAAATAAGCCTTATTAGTGAGCATCTTAGCTAGAATTCATGCTACCTAAATATAAATGATCAAAGAAGTGAACTTACTTTTGTAACAATTACATCAATTCAACAGTGAAACACACTGATCACACAAGCAGGAGCCTACTCTTGCTTACAGGACTTTTTGTGGGGAGCTATACCTACGCACTCATTTTGGGATGAACTTCCATGCCGTTTATGTAACACCACGTCACATGCACGCTAATGTGAAAAGCTGTGAATCTTTCAGGTTGATCATAGTTAGCACCGAGTACATCGACGTATTAAAAAACCCCTCACGTGGCTCCTTTCTCCTCTCATTTACAGACTCCACACTCGAGCTGGAGGAGGAGCAGGCGAGGTTAGACCAGAAGTCTGAGGACTTGGTGAGCAGCGTCGATGCCCACACGGCGTGCTCCTGTGCCCAGCAGCCGTGCGCAGCGTGACGCTCCGTATCACGCGGTGCATCACGTTTGCTATCAGCGTTAGCGCTCACTGCGGAACTGCGGACACAACCGTGTTGGCCGGCAAAGCCGAGGCCGAGCCTGCTTCACACTACGCTGTTTTCCTCCGCAGTTATTTTCAGCTCCTCACAATAACTGCGGATTCCCTTAAGCCGGTTTCATCTTTTAATAAAACGCTGCTCTTTAAAAGCACCTCAATGGAGATTATCATTTCCTCCTGCACGCGTACCGCCCCAATCAGAACCCTGCAGCCCGGACCCGGCCCGGCCCTGCGGGGAGGAGCTGCAAGCCCGCGGAAGCGGAGCGAGCAGCGGGATGTGACATGGCGTGCCGGGGGGGTGCGGGGCTGCTGTTGCTGCTGGGCCTCCTGCAGCTGCTCGGCCTCCTGCAGCTGCTGGGCTGCGCAGCTGCGTGTCCCTGCCAGGACCCGCGGCTCTGCCAGCCCATCGCGGGCACCGGCGGCTTCGAGGTGCGCGTCCCGGTGCTGCTGGAGCTGATCCTGCGGGCCGGCTGGCGGGGGGGAGTGGTGGCAATGCGGGGTGACCTTGGCTGTCCGGGGCGAGCCTGGTGTTTGGGGCTCTTGTGGTGGCCGTGAGCAGCCCTGGGCACCTCAGCTCTTGGCTCCCTGCACTGGTCCAGCAGAAAGTCGTGCTTTGCAACGGAGAAGGGTTTAGAATTGATGAGATGGTCTCTTACCACCTCTAGGTCTTTGTGTTCGATGTGGGGAAAGAAGCCTGGAAATCCTATGACTGGTCAAAAATTACAACCGTGGCGGCTTTTGGGAAATACGATCCAGAGCTCCTGTGCTTTGCTCATTCCAAAGGCGCCAGGGTAGTACTGAAAGGTGGGCTGCTTCATCAAACTGTGGGTATTTGTAAGTTGTCAGGAGCATAACGTACATAGCACTGTAATACTGTGACATTTCATGTTTGCTGCTATGCAAGGTATTAAAAATCAATGAGGAGTTTAATTACTAAGAGGGTAGTGCACTCAGGGTTCTCTTACCTTGACATTTTGCATGTGCTAGAATGCAAAATATTAAAATCAACCTCGTTTTGTGCCACAGTAATAACAAAACCATTCCAGTGACATTATCTCTAACAGAGAGCACCACAGCAGTAGGAGAGCAGGAAAGAAGAGAGGAGGAAAAGCCTGTAGAAGAGAAATATTTGGGTCTGTCTTCTATATATCATGTGCAATACCCAGAAGACAGGGTAAAGACAGTGGTTGCAAGTTATATTTAGCATTTTTAGCATTTTTCAATTAATCATTGTGTGTTACAAGTGTGAGTTTGAAAACATGAATACTCAGGAAGTGCATGTACAAAAGCTCATTAGAAAGGCAAAGTTCATCATGTCAGTCTGCACATGTGTGCCGTAATCAAGACTAGGATCTGTCAAGGCAAAAACAGGATCAAAGATGACAGTGTGGAAAAGGAGTTAAATGTAAATGCATGTGCATCAAAGCAAAAAAAGGCAGTTCTTCTGGCTCTCTGGAAATACAGGAAATCAATTGACTTCAAGAAAGGAAATTTACAGTGGCTGAGAGTAGTAGGCTGAAGGAAGGAGATGATTGAAATTGTGGAAAAAAAATCCAAAAGGAACTTTGTTGTAAACGTATCTGTCTTAAAGAAATTTGGTAATCTCTCCTGGTGTGGGTTCTCAAAATTATACTTAAAAAAAATAAATTAAGCCCTTTCTATTATCCAGGAATGGCACAAGGATGAAATAGATGTCAGTATACTTGTGGGGATTTTTACACAGTATACTTGTGGGGATTTTTATTTTCTGGCTGTGACAGTTAGCTTAGTAAAGACAAATCTTTTCTCCATACTGTGATACAAATACATGTTGACTCTTGGAGCCCTCCTGCCTAGGTGATGTACCTCTTAAGGAAATCGTTGACCCGGCTAAAAGAGCAGTGTGGATATCCCAGCAGGTGGACCTTGCCAAAAAACAATACATGGATGGAATTAATATAGATATAGAGCAAGAAGTTAATGAAACCTCTCCTGAGTATTATGCATTAACAGAGCTTGTTAAAGAAACTACAGATGCTTTTCACAAAGAAATTCCAGGATCACAGGTAATGAAAATGTACCTTATGCAAACATTAAGCTTAGCTTAATGGAATACAAGGAGTTTTAACAGCACTGCATGCGAATATGAAAAGACATGCAGAGCTAATGTGTGATATTATCATCAGTGGTTAATTATGGATGTTAGATATGATATTCTGTCGTAAGAATCACCTCTTTGACCTATCTGAATTTAAATGGAAGAAGGGTTTATCTGAGATTTGTAGGTACAATGCTATTGTCAATGACTGAGATGCCAGTTCGTACGGCCTAATGAATCCTTTTAAAGTAGGGCCTTCTAGTGAAAAAACAGTAAACTGGTTTCTAAATTTTTTATGATTTTGACATTATATTTTAATTTCTTTGGTTCTTGAAAATTAAGTGGTGAATTGTGGAAAAACAGGAAAACAGCATGTCTTGAATTCACAAATAATGGCACTCTCTGATTATTATCTAAAGTTTGTTTTGTCAGCTGAGCAGCTTCTCCTACACTTTATTGGTATCACTGTGTGCTAAACGCTGTGCAACGTTTGGGAAATACTGTCTTTAAAAATTACAGCTCTTTGTAATCAGAAAACGACTGCCAAAGTGCCGTGCATGATACTAACATATGATCTTCCTTGAGGTAACATTTGACGTGGCCTGGTCTCCTGCGTGCATCGATAAGAGGTGCTACAACTACACTGGGATTGCAGCTGCCTGTGATTTCTTATTTGTGATGTCTTATGATGAGCAGAGCCAGATCTGGACCGACTGTATTGCAAAAGCCAATGCTCCTTACCTTCAGACTTTAGTTGGTGAGGACAGGACCTGTCCAGAAATTTAAATATTTGTATATTCACAATGTGAATGGTTAGAAAAGATTGCCTTTTCTTAGAAATATTTTTTGATTGTACTGAGGTTTTCTAGTAGCCTTAAATACATGTTGTCCTGCTGGGAAAATACCATCTCAGATCCCTCTAACACTGAGGATAGACCTTTAGCAGTTGCATTCTCACTTGTAAAATCATCATCTTGCATTTGTGGCTGCGGAAGAACACTTCTAGCATGACAAAAGGCAGCCAAATCAATGGTGTCTGCCTGGGCTTGCAAAGAACCTGCAAGAACCTTGTCTCATCCTTGCAGTGCAGATTCCTTTGAAGATGAAGTTTAAGAAATGATTCCTTTGGCAACAGTGTGGATTTATTTTCTGCTGGTGCAACTGTTCATGCACATACACAGTGAGCTGGATTACAGAACAGATAGAATTGTTTAAAAATGAGGATAAAAGAGAAGCAGTGATTTTAAATTGGAATCAGTTCTCTGATCTGGCTCCCCACACAGTCCCATAACGAACTGTCAGCACAGGTGAGCTGAGAGACAAATGAGAATCATCAATCTGATCAATCCAGGGCTGTCTGGTTTTTGTTGTTGTTGTTTTTTGCTAAGGAATACCTAGAGAGGATAGTGTGAATTACTGTGAATATGTTAATGCTTATCAGCTCTGCTGAGAAGACTGCTACTGGCAACTGGAAGAGTTTGAACAGAGCCAATTTGGGACTGTGCTGGTAGGAGCTTACACCTTAGTTTCTGTCCAAGGATCATGCAAGTCCTGTGCTAACTATGGCTATAAGTCAGTTCGGAAAATGCATTAATGCATTTTAATTTTTCCTTCCATCAAAACTAGGGTATGAAGAGTACATTACTATGGGCATTGATCCTAAGAAGCTTGTGATGGGTGTCCCCTGGTATGGCTATGATTATATGTGCCTAAACCTATCCGAGGTAAGATTAACTGTATAACCGCAAATGAATAATACTTTTTTTTTTTTCTTTTTTTTTTTTTTTTTTCTTCTAAGGAAGAAACCAGCTAGATACTAGTAATCCTGTTTTTGGATTAGGAAATACTGTGGTCTGATGGCTTATAGCATAATGCTGTGACTTGATACCTTTCCTTGCCCTGTTTGCTTAGCAGTTATCATCCTTATTGGTAACCTGAACCCTGTAATACCCAAGCAACATGTTTGACTGACTAAAGAGCTATAGATGCTATCTGTATGAGATGAGATGGTGTCCAAAGTAGTCTCTGCAATGCTTGTAACTGCCTTTTCAACACAGTGATTAAGCTTCCTGCTTAATTAGCTGCAACAAACAACAGTAAACCTATAGCTGTTGCAGTAGAGCAGCATATGGATAAATCATGGAATCTCAAACTACACTGTACTTAAGAAAAAAATGTAAGAGTGAATTAGAATTGGAAGGGAAATAGGTAAGACAGTTGTGTAAGTTGAATGAGAACCAACCAATCCCGTAACACTATGGTTTAAATGTAACTGTTTTAATTTACTGCTGTCTAGAAACAACATGACTAGCACAGATACTTGAAGATCTAGGAGTTTTGTACTCCCAGAGCCTTTTGTGACTTTGTTCTTGTCTGTACTGCTGTTTTGGAGTTCAATAACACTGTAATGTGAAACTCCAGCCTTCTGCTTTTTCTTTTCCTTCAGGATCATGTTTGTTCCCTTTCCAAAGTACCATTCCGTGGTGCCCCTTGCAGTGATGCTGCAGGGCATCAGGTGCCGTATGGAGCGATAATGAAGCAGGTGAACAGTTCTATTTCAGGAGCACTATGGGATGAGGTACAAAACTCTCCATTTTATGAATACAAGGTATGTGTCTTTTCGTAAAACACCACACGTTGTGAACTACTTGTTTGTGAGACATAGTTCTTTGACTGTAAAATTTTCAGGGTTAGACATTTGTGTTTTCTAGTCTCTCTTTTTTCCCCCCATGTAGTAGATGACTGGATTTCCATCTCCCCTGTTTCTAGTCTGAAAAGAGGATGTGGTGACTGAGATTGCAGGAGTAATTAAGGTTTTCACTGCTCCCCAGCTATTCTTGAGAGGAAAAGTATCATGTCAGAAAGGGTATTTTGTTCAAAGAAATCCTTTAGCTTGATTCTTCACTGTTACAGATTTCTGATGTTGAGGACCAATTTAAACCAAAAGAGATTCTAGGATGCTCTTAAGTTTTTCTAAACTAGTGGCTTGGGTGTTCGTTTCTGCATTTGATTTCTACATAGAACTACTAAAAGGGTCCACCAATGATTGTACTTAACACCACTGTTGGTTTCTTTGGGCAGAATTTTCAGTGTAAGTTATGTAAGATCAGAAGGTGTTAAGCAGTGACCAGGTAAAGACCACATAACTTTCCTTTGAGTTTTACAACTACCTCTAAAACCATTTATTGCTGGAAAAAAAGGGACATAGTTTCTAACTAAATTTACCTGCTAGTTTAGATAGCATGTCTGAGATCATAGCTATAGTTAACAAGAAACATTAGAGATTAGTTAGGTCTTTTCCTCTAACTTCAGTTAAAATGCATCACTCTTTTATAACTTAAATTCTCTATGTAAAATTATAGCCAAGTATTTGACTTAATTTTTTTAAATTGTCCTGAGTGAGAAACAACCATAAATCAGGAAAGCATTGTAATATAAATACACATAGCTTGTATATCCAACCTTATAATTGTACTTTTCACTGTATTGAATAGAAAGTATAATAAAATTCAATTAACTTTAATATATCATATTTATATAGGTAAGTGTATACTGACATTATCTGTTTGCATGTTTTTTTAGGATTCTCTTGGTCACTTCCACCAAGTATGGTATGATGACCCTCACAGCATCTCTCTAAAAGCAGCATATGTGAAGAATCGAGGCCTAAGGGGCATTGGCATGTGGAATGGAAACAGTCTTGACTATTCCAGGGAAGCTGTAGCAGAAAAACAAACTGAAGCAATGTGGCAAGCCCTGACACCATAAGTAAGTACATGAAATCGTGAACTACTTGATTTAGGATTATGAAAATTGGTCATTTCTGATGATGCATATAGCATGACAGATTTTGATTTTTTATAAATACACCATGATTGCAATCAAAACTTTGAGAACTACTGAAATTCATCTTGCTACTTTGTATGTAAAACTGTATTTTCATTCTTTGTAAAGTTCCAAGGTTGCTTTACCTTTGCACTTTAAAAGACTTCTCATCTTTTTCATTTTTCAAAACAATAGTAAGCTACTTAAAGCTCAAACCTAGCGTGTATCTGGTAACAAGACCGAGTGAATTTACAGGGCCCATATAACAATGGTCCTGTAAAAGGCTGCCTGGTGCAGCAGGTAATCAACCTATGGTCACATAGTTGCAGACTCAGCTTTCTGACTTCCCAGCCCAACCTGTATTTCAGCAAAGTCATTCCTGAGTATGGCTCAACACAGATTACTGATAGGCAGATTGCTGCTTAGGTGCAGCTTGGTGAAACTTGTGCTTAGAGAGAAAATCTTTCATACATCAAAGGAATTATGTAACATGAAATAATTGCCCTTAAAGTTTTTATCATTCTTCTTCTTAGAAAAGAGCGTTCAGTAAACACAAGTTTCACCATATCTGTGTATCATGTAAACTCTTTAGTTTCAAAAGCCAAAAATCTTGGACTTTATCTTGAAGAGATAGCATTATTATTGAAAGGACGGTGTTTTCTACCATTTCAAACTTTTCTACTTCCTCAAAACTAGAAGTCAGCTTATTTAATGAACTGCATACATCTTTCATATTTTTCCACACACTACAAGATCCACTCAGTTGTCTTTACTTTGTTTTTATGTGGTGTTTCCCCTGAGATAGAAGGGGATTGTATTTTCATTCTAGTTAGTTAATGTTTTTCATATAATAATAATAAAACAATTGTGTAACTTTTCAAGTAACAGCAGTCATGGAGAGATTGTCTGCTGTCCACAGGATTTTTTTATTAAATAAAACACTGCCTTCTAAGGTTGATAAATGCTGTTGTCTGTTTATGCATGACTTGTTTCACAGCTTACAGCCACACAGCTTCTCTGCTTCTCAGAAGTGTCTCCTAACCAAAGTACAACCATGCTCTGCTTGAGTGACTCTACTAATTAAATTTGAATTAGATACACGGAGCTGGCTTCGCCATTTTAATATTAATAGTTTACCACTAAAATCTTCATTAAATCCTTTATTGAAAAAGAACTCAAAGGAAAGCAGACTGTACAGTACTTAGCACCAAGATCATAATTATAACTTATTGAAGACAAAGCTTGCATCTTCCACTAATTACAGAATAAGTCTAATGTTTATGCAGCTTTCCTTTGAGAGAGGAAATAAAACCATCTAGATATGAAAGAACCAAAAGATTTTGTTCATACTTAATAATGTAGCAATAATACATTGATATTTTATAGACAATTATACACATGACTAAAATACACTTCAGTAAATAGCTAAGCAAAGATTACTTCTGCTCTGCTTCTGTGTAAGATGTATGCTAATCATGTATCAAAAAATTAAATGTGTGCCCCAAAATCTGAACAGAAGACTTTAGATTTTAGGTTTATTTGCTTAGTAGGTATGAAGGATCATCAGCATACTGATGTGACGTCACATGATTCACCGGTTTACATTTTAAAAATAGTTTTGTTTTAGACACATGACTAGGTTAAAAATGTAGATTCATGTAGCTGATAAACCTTTCAGTAATGAGACTGAAAAAGAAGTGAGTTGCAGTACTTTAGTAGGCTAGTGTACAAATTCCACATCACTTGCATTGCTGATGCCTTTTTACAAGAGAAATTTAAGAGTGTACGAAAAGCAACACAGATGTTCTGAGCTTCCGTATACATTACTGTTGAGTCATGCTCTTAAATTCCAGATTTCCCAGACTGGAGAATTAAAGCTGAATGAATCTTCTTCTGTGTCAGTTCTGCTCTCAGTGCTCGTAAATCTGCTATTGCCTGCTTTCTCATCTGCAGAAGAACCAGACATTTAAGGAATTGTAATTTAAAGTAGTTTTTGGAATTGATGTGTTTGTGTAGCTAAGACTGACTGACTTTCATGCGGGACGGCTGAATACAGGATACATCTTTTATCTTCAAAAAAATCTTACACCTCTAATTAGATAGACAGCTTTGTTTTAGCACTTGGCCGTGGTGTCTTTCTTTAACCATGGAATTCATTGGTTTTTCTACTCCTTGTAATACAATGAAGGAAGCATATCCACCCTAGATTACTCAGTGCCACAGGCAATCTCTGTGATGCAGAGCACTGAGATTTCAAGCGTTCAATGCTGGACTGCTATCCACTATGAAGGGCTCTACCATCATCTTCCTTTCTAAGGGAGCCATAGGCAGCACTGATATGGAATAAAGCAGTTGACAACAACTTGCATTTTCCTGGAAAATTATTCTGCCTTTTTTTTTCTGTATACCTCACCTAGTATGTTTCTTCAATTACTTCTTATGAAAGAGATTGCAACATAGTACCTTGAAAGTGTAAGTAAGAGCTTTAAAACCAAACTTCATGCTCTGAAGTAATTTGGCTCAAGTGCTAAGTTATGATAACTAATACCATAAGAATAAGAATACAATAAGAACTTGAAAATACAAACTTAACAAATATTTAGATCTTCTAATGTTTGAGAAGATTTTAATAGGTAGTAACATTTTGACTGCTTCAATTAAAAGGTAAAACAAAGGCAGAGTACCTTAATTTCTATTACGAGTTTCATTTTTGTATCATCCAGCTTCCTTTTCAGTTGATCAAGTTCATGCTGCACTGTAGTAATCTGGATGATTCTGTTATTCTACATGAAAAAAACAAAACAAAACAAAAAACCCAAAAACTTTAATATAGTTCAGCATTAAGGCATCTCTTCATTCCCTGAGTGCTACTTCACCCCTCAGAAACAATCCTCTGGAGTCTTTCCAGTTCTACTCTCTTCCATCCTTCCGTGCTTCAATGCACGCTTGCTTGTCCAGGTCTGGAAGCAGTCTGCTTGCCAACAGAGGGTGGCTCCCCTCAGCAGCCAGTGGCCTTCCTCCCTTCTCCCTCTCACTTCTCAGATCAGAACTCCTCAGTAACAGCATACTGTTTTGCAGTTTAAGTTGTGCATATCTTATATATAAAGGCTCCTTGTGCACAGCCCAAGAGCCTAAGAACTCTGACTCTCCAAAAAGGAGTCAGCATACTTAGACATAGCTTGTAATAAAAATGTAGTATAAAAACTTCATATTTTTATGTTTTAGATATTTATGTTAATGTGCATTTATATGCATTGTACAATCATAGATTATCATCTCCCACTTTTCAGACAGGCATAACATACTCCATGTACTTCCTACAGTTCATATATTTTCCTAGTCCAGACTCAGATTTGCAAATATACTTGCTTCTATGATGCATTTATGAAATTAGCAGCTGTGACTATTGGGAAGCACGTTAGTTTTGGTTTTTTTTTGTGATTCCTCTATGAATTTCCCCTATATCGACATCAGCAGCACAACACAAAACTCACAGCTGCTCAACAGTCTAAGTGTAGCCATTTCAAAAACTTCAGGGATGTCTCTTCTTCAAGCATAATTACAATTCATTACCTCTTCCCGTGAAATTTTGGATTATAAGAGCAATGCAGAACTGAACAACTCAAAGATCGCACTGAACAAAAGGATGTTCTGTAATGAGACAGTGCTGTACAAACACAAAGCAGAAAGACTCAAAAGCTCAGATTCAAGCCTTCAGCCTTTTCAACAAGAACAGGATGGAGTAACTTCATAGTGGCCACACCTCAGGTTACTGAGGAATATTTGACTGTTATAGCTAGTTTAGAAGTCACTGGTTGATGATGAATTTGTTACTTTCATTTATATTTTATACAAGAAAGAGGTTGTGTAAAAAGATTAAATAATTTAAGTACGTACTTTCACGTTTGTTGCATTGTTTGGTTGTTTTCGGCAATATCTGGCTTCTAATTGCAAGAGTAATTTCTGGTGGCAAAGCTCTAAATCTTGTCTCAGTTTGCTTAAAACATCCTCCAGTGAAACAGTAGCTTTCTTAGCCTCAAAGTATTTCTTCTTCCATTCTTCACGATCTACATAGGAATATATAATAATGTTTGGCTATGTTAGTCTTATTTTAAGGTCTACTGAAGACTGTAATGACAAACTGAACTCACAGGACTCAGTTGGCCAATGCAGATATTAAAAATTAGCAGTAAGTTTATTTTAAAAAGAAAGCAATTTGTGAAAATCTTTGTTAAAATTACATTCCCAAAAAGTGCATTAGAATTTTCATACAGTGACTTGCAACATGAAGCTCTCTCTGTCTCCTAAGGTATATCAAAAGGTCAAAAACCCAAAATTCTGTTCAGCCTGGCAATTCTGCAGATTTCAGCTGTGTAAGCCCTCCATACCTGTTAAGATTGGGATACCTGCCACAGTCTGAAGTCCACAGCATCACTGTAGCAGCATTAAAGGCTTTATGCAGAATTTGAGCTCTGCAGGGCCAGAGATTTTGAACAGAAGTCCCAGGGTTATGGGAAACAGTTATTTACCTTAAAATTTAACTATGATTTCTTGAGCTGTGTTACATGTTAGCAGAAGCTGGCTTATAGCGGTGTTGCAATCTGATGGCTACATACATCTGCTATTCTGCAGTGTGTTAAATTTATTTTAAGGCATATTTTAGGAAAGCAGGACAACTGCTTCATTAGAAACTTACCAGAAAAAAAGTTCCACTGTTCAAACGCTATATAGTATGTAACCAAAAATGACTGTCAGCATGGCAATCTTAGGATGAAATTAAATACAGACTGCATTGCTGTTCCTAAAGAACATAGTCTTCCCTTTGTACCTTGTGAAAAAAATACGAATGCACTCTCTTCTGAAACTGCATAGGCCTGATAAAAATAATTTGGAGGTACTAATGCTTCTTAAAGAACCTGAGAAGCTGTTGAAATCCTTGTGAAATAATCTTAAATTTACCTAACTGGGTAGTGTTTTTTAAGAGAATGCAGGAACCATTTAGGACAATCTCAGCAGCGTAAATTGAACTTGCCTTGCAGACTCATGCTACTGCAGATTCTCTCCTTCAAGTGACCAAGTTTTCTTTTTCAAACTACAGCTTCACCATGCTGTAGAATGCAGCATGGCCATGCCCTCAAAGGACAACTGGAAAAAATGGGACGTCTTTTCCCTTTGACAAAGCTACATATCAGTTAGATAACAGTTGAGATTCCTAGTGATTCAGCTGCATTTAAGTACAAAGAGTACTCTTGAAACATCACAGTAATTAAACCGAATCTCTGCATAACTGGAATGTGACTTCAGGAAAGCAGCTTAAGTATAAACTTCAAAATAATTTTATAAAGAAAATTTAGGTGAGATTTCAATGAAATAATTACCTATGTTAAAAAAAAAAAACAAGATTTGTCAGACTTGCCATGATAGGCTTATTAATTCAGCATGCCATATGCTGAATACATTAGATAGCAGGGGAAAAAAAAAAAAAAGAAAAGAAAGCATTAATCTTGCAATTAGAACAGAAGGGCTATCAACATGCCAAAACCTTGGCAAGCATCAACTAAAGGGATTTTTAGAGTGCAGTTTTGAGATCTGACATACAACAGCCAGCAGTAGCTCTTTGGGAGCTGTATGTACCCAGGACACAACTTGGTTTATAAAAGCCACAGTATTTTCAGATTTATAGGACTGCCACAGAAGTGCTTGAGAAGACATTTCAGCCTTTCTACCATACTATTTCTTCTAATGAGCCTTCTCATTATCAGAGCTCTTGCTTAGCCAGCTGTGCTTTCTGTAATTAAACTCACTGACAAAGAATTTGACTAACATTTCCACATAGGTTTCAGCATTTCTCTATTATTCCAAATTCCAAAATAAATTAAAAGTGTACCATGATATCTCTTCAGTTTATTTTGTTCCAGTAGTGTTTTCACTTTTTTGACCAGCTCTTCTCTGTTTTTTTCCATGAGCCTTCTGTCCTTCTTCATTTGTTCCAATTGTTCTACCATCTTGTTTTCTAAAGATATTACAATTATATTTAGCAATCATCCGGATACTGCAAGGAGGAAAAATCAATCAAGGTTTTTATAATTCACCCATCATATATCATGCCAAAAACTTTGCTAGAATAGGCAGTAGAAAATCTTTTATTTTAATAAACCATCTAAATTTTGGAAATGGCTGTCACATTAGAAGAAAATGAGAAGTCCAGCATGCATTCAGGCATTTATATACATGCAAACAGTACAAATCCTGTTAAATGCCTGTGGAACATATTGGAATAATTACTTTCAAAAACTATTTAGACGTATATGCATTGAAAACTCCTGACAGATAAGGATAAAAAAACCTCTTGAGGATTACTTCCTGCTTAAAATATTTCTGATAAAATCTGTAGCAAAATCTTGCCTTAAACGATAGATGGCAAATAGGTAAGATAATATCTCAGACTTTAACTAGTGTGCAACTATAGGTCAATCACGAACATTTTTGATATATTGATCCTCAGTTGGATTATAGGAGAATCAGCAAGTGACCTTCTTTGCTACATTCTAATGTAAACCAACAGTATTTAACCCAGTCTCCCTCCTTATCTCCCCCATTTTCCAAACACAAAATTTGTAACAATCTGATGAGTAAATATATGCACAAATTCTTTCAAAAGGTAAGTATTTCCATCTTCATTAACCAATCTTGATTGCATGTTAACTCCCCAGAAGTTTCTTGGAAGCACATACTTTCTGCCTGAACTGTTGGAACTTGAGCTGGGCTTACAGAAATTGCCAGAAGAGGTAGACTAGGAGGAGAAGCATATTCTTTTGGACAAGTAGGATCATTTTGCTTGTTGTCATTTGCCTAGTGAGTCAAAAGACAAGTACATGATTTACAATCCAGAACAGTTACATTAAACATACATTCTGAGAGTGGTCTGAGTGATTGTGAGGGATTAATGGATCCTGAATACAATCTCTTTTTTATTCTGTGTTACCTGTAGGAATGATTACTAAATTCCAAACAGATGGACATCTGCTAACAGAATCAGAACAGTCAACACTGAAACTGCAGAGGAAAACACAAGGTCCAAGTTGTACACTATTGCTAAATATTCTTGTCCACGTCCACTTCACCAGATGCTGACATACCCATATGATACCAGAAATAACTGGCTTTAAAACTATGCTCATTGGGTAACAAAAGCTGGACTGCCCATTTCTAAACTAGAACTTATAATAGCTCACAGGTGACAAAGTAATAGTGAAGATATTAGGCTGTATGACTGCAGACTGTGTCTTCCTAAATATGTCCTTATTCTGATGCTATGACAATTCCATGCATATGCTTTAAATAATTTTGTATTTTTAATGAAATGTTTTGCGTGAGATAAAAACTAATATTTATCCCATTGGAAATAACTAAATTATAGAAAATGCCATTGGTAAAGTCAATACAATGTCACTATCAAGAAATTGTAAATAATAATAAATAAATTGGCTGATATTAATAAGATTGAGGTGGTTGCTATATAAATAGATTATAACCAAAGGTATCACTTCCCATGATTTCATTATTTAGAAATATAGTTGATTTTTCCTTAGCAAATCTCCAAAGTAGCACAGAATGAATTAACTTTACTCAGTTACTGTAAAATGTACATCAAACATTTCATATTTGTAAAATGTACATCAAACATTTCATATTTCTAATGAGTTACTTGTCTTATAAAATCACCCTTTTTCTAGGTGGAGGATTATGCTTACTGCTCCACATTGCAAAGACATTCTAATTTGAAAAACAAACCTCACCATCCAGGTTTTCACCAAGAACTGTTACAGACTTGCTAGTTCTGTATGGCAGCAACCTAAAGATAAAATTGAAGAATTATGTGATAATTAATGGAATGATGTGGGGTTTATTTTCCATTTTCTTTCACTTATTTGAAGCTGGTAAAATAAGCTTCTAGTCATGAATTGATGGTATTCAATGTTTTGTCAGAATCATTATTTACTAACCTTTGGTTTTTGTGTATGTATTCTGTGGTTTGGTCTTCCAGTGTTCTAAGAATTCCAGAATGCTGTGTTCTGTCTCCTCTTAGTTTGCCATCTTTTTGGTGATCATTATTTTCCACGTTTGTAATTAGCCTGCTGTTCAGTTCTGTGACAGGATAGTGATAACCAAAACATACAGATTACAATCATAAACTTCAAGCACTTTTGACCATAAGTCAGTTCAATACTTAAGATTATCTCTGGGGTAAATCATGTTTTTGTGATTTAGGAAATAAATAAATGAAAAAAAAACTTGTTTTAACAATTTGTATCCATCTCATTCTGGTAACTAGCAGAGAAACATTACAGCAGATAAAGAAATAATTTAAATTACGTTTCTTACTACTTTCTGCCTTTCAGAGACTGAAATTCTCTGACAAACTGGTAAAGAAAGCCAGCAAAACATTCTGCATTTGAATGTTATCAGCTTTAAGTTGTATACAGTAAATCTTTCAGAAGAAAACTGCTGACAGACTTCGCCTACACTTTATGCAACAAAATCCCACATCCTTCATCATTCAAAACAAAGTTATGGAAAACTTTCACGTATATATGTAAATACACATATATATGTGTTTCTGTATTGACAGGCTTCAAACTTCAAGTTGACATGATAATGGAGGGACAACACTATTTTTTATGGATTATGAGTGGAAACTGAAAAGCCTTTTCTAACACACTCTTCAGACATGTCTCAAAGAACACAACATCAATTTTTTTGTTTTCTTACTCAAAATACTATTTATCAAGAATAATTTTAAATGAGATCAGTAAAGTGCCCATAACTATGACAAACTTGAATATAATCTCCTTTAATAATTCCTTGTTAAAAATTTGCAACAAAAGAAGGTTCACCTTTTTATATTAACTGTAAAATTATACACAAATATTAAGATTTGTCTTTCAAAATTATTTCCTAATAATGTATTTTATCATTTTGATGCTAATTTAATAGTGGTCACTCAAATCCAATTTGAATGCTTTGGTCACTTCTTCATTTGTAATTACTAGAAATTTAGGACCATTAAGAACATCAGATAACAGTTTAGAGACTTAATTTCCCTCAATATCCTAAGGCACCCCATTTTATAGAGAATAGTCAATAGATGTCTCTCAGACATTTTCTATCTGGGAGCAGAACTGCTACCCAGTTTATGTGAGCTTTAAATCCCTCCATACTCTTGTACTATCTTTACTGTAGTCTGTTCAAAGAGTTCTCTTGCCTCTCAATTTTAGAACTGCCACTGTTCACTAATATTAAATAACAGTAAATCCACATTACGTAGGAGAGAGCGTAGAAAGCAATTTCCCTTCAGTAGCAACATAGCCATGGATAACAATGAAAGATGAAGTGAATGAATTGCTTTCCATGGTTTCCTGATAACAATTTTTTTTCATTTAAAATTGCTTTTGAATTACAGGATCATTACCTTCTTTGAAAGATAATATTATTTTAAAAATTAGAGTACTGCTCTGACAGCAATATTTCAACTTATGCTGTACCAACAGATTTTTTTAAATTTAGCTTTACTCTGCCAATTTTCTAGAAAGCTTGGTTTAGCAACAAGATGACAGTGAACCGTACCCTTTGGATTTGTCATGTGATTTTGATGTGTTTGGTTATTTTGGTCTTGTTTATCACTGTGGTTTACATGAAGAGCAGTTCCTTTGGCTTTGTCATTCCACTTAGGAGCAGGAGGCTCTTTTGGATCCTGGCTGAGATGGCTGTGCTGGGAGTTCTTTTGTCCTATACAGCTTTTTCCAGTCCCTTTATCTACAGGATTTAAAAGACTTGCTGTGAAGAGAGATCCCTTGGATCCAATTTGTTCTACAAAATAATTGATATAGAAAAGAGAAATATTATTTCATGGTAAATGTTAACTATAATAGTTCTTTTTCTTCACTGCACTGGTTAAACATACCTTTCACTCTGAACTGTGCCTGTGTTTCTGTAATCGTGTTGTGGTCTTGCTCATGACTCATATGCAATACAGGAAGAGATTCCTTCTCAGACCCTCCTGCAGGACTGTACACTTTCTGATTTTCTAGCTGATGACTGCTCTGTATGCCTTCTAAAAATTGTTTGCTTTCAGTTTTCTGTTGGGGAAGGTTAGGAAGTCTTGATCCATGACCATACCTATTAGTTTCTGCATTAAAGTGATGTCTTTGTTGTGTTGATGATGATAATGGATAAACATCTTCAAAATAGTCCACTTGAGGTAATAAATATAATTCAGGATACAGTGCCTAAAATATGCAGTATATTAACCAGACATAAAAGAAGAAATGTGCAAAGCTTTTGAAAATAATATCTTAAATGCCATAAAATACATACATAAGGGGGAGCAAATGACTTCAGTTTCAGCTCTGCTTCTTGCTTTGCTTTCACCTGGAAGATAAAAAACAGAAGATAACTGATAAAATACTTCTCTTACCAATAATGTTGTGCATTTAATAATTAATGTTGCTAATTTGTATTCTATTTTCTGTCTTTACATACTACATTTTTCTTCCGCAACAGCCTGATGGAGAGAAGAAACATAGAATGCTACTCTCTTTTTTCTGACATGGCACTAAAACTATTCTGTGTTTCAAAATTTAAATCAGACACACAAGAGTACACGTATGTGTTTCTGCTGTGGTTCAAAGGACTCAACCCAACAGTGACAGCAGTAGAAAGTCCGCCTTTACTAGAAGTTGCTTCAAGTCAACTCTGAATAGAAATGCCAAGTCTAACATAAATGTCACTATTCACCTCATACAACAATGCAGCATATTTGGTGGCTATACAAAAAAAAATTTATAATTCTCCTATGTCTTATAGTATTTTTTGCCTTGCTGTTCTTTGTGTGATGTATGTTTTCAGATTTCAACAGCTGTTATAAAATAAATAAATCAAAGATAATCAATATAAACTGGAAAGACCATTAGAAAACACCATTAGAAAAAAAATAAAAATTCTGAGCTTGCAATTAAGCAATGAAATAACAAAACTGAATTAGACATGGGGCCAAATTCTGTTCTCAAAAATGGCCACGCAATGAGACACAAACTACATAAAAGGAAGAACAAATTAAAATAGTTTTGGCTGCAGTTCATTTTTCATTTGAAGACCTACACTTGCAAGCAGAATACAACTCAGTACTGTTTACATTGTAAACGTTGTGAAATGGAACACTGAGAAAATAAACAAACTCAATAAATATTTGATCATGGAGAGGTAATTCAATTAGGTTACCATGACCCTAACAATAAATAAACTAGTTATTTGGTTCATTGTTAGTTATTTGGTTCATTGTTTTACCCTCTGTTACAAAGCAAATATAAAGCAATGCTAAATTATATCTTTAATTCATTGCTAAAAACCTTTACTTGTACCTACTAATATATTTCATTGTCTATTAAAAGCAAAATATGTTATTAAATCCCTTGTCATTCTCAAGGGAGCTGGAAAATTTCTCCATTTACCTCAGATCTAACAGTGAGGAAGAAAATATACCATCTCAGTTGCTATCATCCAGTTAAAAATATCTGAAATGTTTGAAGGTTTATGCATATTTTCAGATTTAGGCTGCATCACAGTCCTGAAGCTCCTGTTCAAGCCTTTCCACCTACTTTTTACACATTACTTGGTATTTATTTTGGATTTCTGTATGGGTAATTTTAGTGATACTGACTATAAATGAAATCAAATCCAACTTTCTGCCCTGTAATTAATTTCCAAATCCATTTCCAAGCAGGTGAAAAAAGTCTTTAATATCTATATACATGTATCCATATATATATCTGTCTACATACATAAATATATACGTTTTTTGTGTGTTAATCAAATGCACTTTCAGTCAATCTGATTTTCAAGTTTATTTACTCTAGCTATAGTTTGTAACATAGCTAAATACAGAGAAAATCAGAGTGAGGAACAATTATGATTCAGAGACAGTTTTTTGATTGCATAAGCCTCCTCAAGCTGTATTAGTGGACTGATTCAAGGACATTAAATGTACCTTCAGAGAAGCTTTCATTCAGAGACTGATCTTTAAAGGCTATTGGACAGGTTGCAGGTTCCTCCCTTTTAAGGAATTCTGACTTACTCAACTCCGTTGCAAATTCTTCAAATGCCATACTCCTAACCATGTACTGGCAATAATGACCTTGGGGGAATATTTTTTATTCAGCTAGAATAGTTACATTTAACCTATTGTCTTAGCATCTTCCACTGGATTGCAACTAATTACATTTGATGATTTAAAGGATAACATTCCTGTCCACCTGTGTGTTTGTATTTGGGGAAATAGACAAGAGCTCATTCTTGAACGCATCTAAAAACGAATGGTGACAGAGCACCTAACGTTATCTAGTGGTGGCATCCCTGCCCAAGGCAGTGGGGTTGGAAATGGATGATGATTAAAGTCCCTTCCAACCCAAGTTGTTCTACAAGGGCTGCTCCAAAAGTAGTGCCTCCTGTTTTACTACATTGGCCCACAATGTCAGAGGTGGATGTTGGTGGGATGGCAGTAGAGGTTGAACCTTCTCACCAACATCCCATTAAATTCTGTTGCCATACGACAGATGGCAGCAGAGGGGCAGTCTATCAGAATGGTGTCTGACATGGAAGTACGGATGAAGCAAAGGTGTGTCAATGAACTCCTCTAAAAGGAAGCAATGGCACCCACTAACATTCATTGATGCTTGCTGAATGTTTATGGAGACCAAACAGTGAATGTGAGCACAGAGAAGTGGTGGGAGGTGCATTTCAGCAACGTGAAAGACAAGCCATGTTTTGTACAGCTCATATGCAGCTGTCATATCATGAAATGAAAAGTGACTCTCAATCAACTCATCTACACAGTTGGCTAATGGTGGTGACTACATTGAAAAATAGTGTTGTGCAGCTGAGAATTTGTTCTATCAAATAATGTTATTATTCTCTTTGTGCATGTTGTATTTTCCATGAAAATAAACAGGAGGCATTACTTTTGAAGTAACCTACATACGATTCTATGGTATTTTCTAAATGATAGGGACTAAATCCATAGTTTACATTATAAAGCAGAAGTGCATTAAAGGAAAAAAAAAAATATATATATATATATATATAAATGTTTATATATATACATATAAATGTATATATATAAATGAACTTACCACTGCAAGCTTTTTCCCAATGCATTTTAAAAATTGGAATTTGTCTGCAACTGCAACTCCACCCAGGTACTCTCCAAGCTTCTCCCGTAGCATTCTTAATGTAGTGTGAGGAGACACCCTAGAATGTAGTTATTCTTTAATACATCTGTAAGATCAAACAATGATGGCTAGCTAGTAAGAGGGGAAAGATAATGATATTTAAATATTAGTTTGCATGGAAAGAATGAACAAAAAAGGGAACTGTTTTCTGAAACAGTACCTTATTACTTATAGGTAGAGATGTTTGGTGTGGTAGAAATCAGTACTTTGTATCATGTTATGGTAGACTGTATTACAAAGGCTGTCATAACATCAGCTAGCAATATTCATACTTAAGGAATCCCATATGAAGCGAGTATATGAGAGTGTCTGAAATTTGAAAAAGATTCCTTTAGGAATCCTTTAGGAATGAATAACAAAAGCATTGGAAACTACAGTCATACATTTCCATTTGGGTGGACTGTCGGACATCCACATTTAAGCACTAAGGACAACAGGATAATTCATCACCTTAAGTGCCAAGCACATTCCTTTGGTTTTCTCTTCTCCAACACTAATTTATAGTAGGGTGTGTGTATATGTACACGCAAATGTATTTTAAATCAAAACCAAACACTGTATTGTAAACATTTCTATCATAGTTTCAGGATGAGAGAGCTTATGCAAATACAAATTAGATAATTTAATCTACTACAGGAAATCATGCAAATATCAAAGTAATGAACTCAGTACCAAAATCGTCATATTACAGAATCATATTTTCAGCCTGGGTTCAAAAGGACCTCAAAGATCATCCAGTTTCAACCCCCCTGCCATTGGCAGGGTTGCCAGGCACTACTAGACCAGGCTGCCCAGAGCCACATCCAGCCTGGCCTTGAATGCTTCCAGGGATGGGGCATGCACAGCAACCTGTTCCAGTGCGTCACCACTGCATGACAAACTTCCTCCAAATATCTATTCTAAACTTCCCCTATCTTTGTTTAAAACTATTCCCCCTTGTTCTATCACTACCACTGTCTTTCCCCTTCCCTTTTACATGTTCCCTTCAAGTACTGGAAGACCACAATGAGGTCTTCCCAGGGCCTTCTCTTTTCCAAGTTAAACAAGTCCAGTTCCCTCAACTTTTCTTCAGAGGTGCACCAGCCCTCTGATCATCTTAGTGGTCCTCCTCTGGACTTGTCCCAAGAGCTCTGCATCTTTTTTGTGGTGGGGGCCCCAGGCCTGGATGCAGTACTCCAGATGAGGCCTCACAAGAGCCAAGTAGAGGGGGACAATCACCTCCCTCTTCCTGCTGGCCACCTCTTTTTTAATGCAGCCCAGAACACAGTTGGCCTTCCGGGCTGCAAATGCACACTGCTGGCTCATGTCCAGCACCTTGTCCATCAGGACCCCCAAGTCCTTCTCTGCAGGACTGCTCTCAAGGAAACCTTCCCACAGTTTATATAAATACCTTCGGATTGCCCTGGTCCAAGTGCAGCACCTTGCACTTGGCCTCGCTGAACCTCATTAGGTTCGCACGGGCCCACTTCCTCACCTGTCCAGGTCCCTCTGAATGGCTTCCCTTCCCTCCAGAGTATCAACCACAGTGCTCAGCTTGGTGTCATCTGCAAACCTGCTGAGGGTGCATTCAATTCCAATAATAAATATGCACCTCCACAGACTGAAACCAAATGTGCAAGAGTCACACAAAAGCTCTGCATCACAACATGAGCAGTTCTAATTGCTTCTATGTTGCCATATAAAACAAACCAGGGAACAAAATCAGGCCCGAGACTGTTAATCATCCACGCTGCTGAAGTGTTAGTACATTACCTAGCAGCATTTCATACCTACCAGGGTTTTGGGCCAGGCCAGCTGTCACTCTTCAAGTGATGCTCAGATATAGCTTGGGGTACGGGACATACCGTTCTCAGTAAATAGTATGGACAAGGACATACCAACCCTTCATCTTGGGCAGATCTTCAGCACTGACCCAGCAAAGTTGCACTCTATGCCTTCATGTCCATTATATGTAAAACACCCCCAGTTGCACGCAATAAAAACTGTGTTTCAGTGAGCTACAATGTTTCCTACGTGTTATTTCACACATGGGACTCAAAGGACCCTCCTCAGGATTATAATTCTGCCTTGCAGCACAGGAGCTCAGGACACCCAGGGCCAAGCAGTCTGCAGAGTGGACATATCTAGGCCATCCTACTTTGTCCCTGAACATTTAGCTTCTGCTTATTTCTTTGCTATCCACTTTTTGCCCACATCCGATGCAGATTTTGGCCCTAATGTCATTTATTTCAAGTGTATAAAGAAATATGTGAAAGATGAAAACATAATTCAACACACACCCTGCCAGGGTCGTATGTGAGAAGAGAGATGATCTGTAATTCAAATATGTCTCCTCTAACCTTTTCTCAAACTGATTTCTCAAAGAAGATATGTCCTTTGAACTATCTGCTGAAATCCAAAAATTGCAAACTCTTTTAGAGGCAGTTCTAAAATTGTGCATCCTTCACTGATAATGCCCTTTCAAATGAGCACAGAAATCTAAATCTAAGGTATGTATGAACAGCAAGGAAAACAGTCAAGTAACTATGATAATGTATCACAGAAGAAAAGGTATATAGAACCTGGAATACACAACAGAAATTAATTGAAAAATGTTTGCTACTGCAGCTGCTATGAACATATAATGATGTATTTCTTACTTGCTGCCACTGGCTAACAGAAGCCTAGTCACACTGAGTCATTTCCTTCAAAGTGTTCCTTTAAAAATGATGCAAACTAGAGTTTACTGCAGCAATCTCATCTAGAAATAACAAAAGTATTGGTTCTGTGGTGAGGAATGAGGAATAAATAAAAGATCATGTATGCTGAGAAATCAAGTTCACGGGAACAAGAACCCTGAGCTGCAGATGATTATACACTTAATATTTTCCTCTAATTTCATGATTACTGGAAGTGGCCTGTACTTACATCTGGCAGTCCTTTGTTGAGCTGACACACACAGTAATAGGATCACCAAACTGGATGGGCAGAGTTATCAGCACGATTTGCACCGGCAGGGCTGCCGTTCCCTCTCCCAGGTTAAACTAAGAGAAGGTTCTTAACATATTTTATGTTTTTAAAGACAGTGATAAGCTGGTCCAGTGTTAGTTACCGCTAGAGTCTATGTACTGCAGCATTGTATTGCACCACTGAATAATTAATAATTAATTACTTTACACTCTTTAGTATGCAACAAATACCTGGACATATCACCGAACTGCAGAATGGCTTGGGTTGGAAAGGACCTCAAAGACCATTTGGTTCCAATTCCTGTCACAGCAGGGTCACTCCCACTAGATGAAGCTGTCCAGGGCCCCATCCAGCCTGGTCTTTAACACCTCCAGGGATGGGGCATCCACAGCTTCTCCGGGCAGCCTGCTCAGTGCCTCATCACTTTCACTGTGAAGAAGTGCTCACTAATACCTAATTTAAATCTACCCTTTTTTAGTTAAAATTGTCATCCCTTGTCCAGTCGCTACAGGGCCTTGTAAAAAGTTTCTCCCCCTCCCTCTTACAAGCCCCATTCATTGCTGAAAGGCTGTAATAATAATTCCCTGCAGTCTTCTCCTCTACTAGGCTGAACAAGCCCAGATCACTTAGCTTGTCTTCATATGAAAGGAGCTCCAGCCAGGAGAGGATATCCAGATCATCTCCCCTCTGGACCTGCTCTAATAGATCCATGTTTCTCTCGTGTTACAAACTCATTGAAATCAATTAGAATCCTAATTTACGGAGCCTTAATGAAATAAACTTACTCCAGAGTATGCAGGGCAGACACGTGAAATGATTTACCACTCCTTCTATGTATTTTGCACCTCTACTGGAGATTTGTACATTAGAGTGGATACGTGCACTTACTTTATTTGGTTTTGAGCAGCATTTCAACAAAAGAAGCTGCAAGAATGAATACATTCTGCTCTAAATGCTCACACCTGGCTGCTGCCAATTTTTTCAGTTACATAATATATTGTCTTCAGGGGACAATACAAACTTAAATTTAAATGAGTTGAAGCCTGCAAATCCTGTTGACAGATTTTGCATATGAACAGAGGAGATTGACTGCAAGACAAGATAGAGGACCAACCAAGTAAATATTTTATAGGTGTTACAACATTTGGGAGTAAGAGTGTGCTCACCTTATAAACCCAGCTGAGATGAATTTGCTGGCAAGAGCCACAGAAACTGTATTCAGCTTGAAGTTCCACACTTCCTCTGGGACAAAAAAAACATGGAGCTCCACCAGCTAAACAAATAAAATAATTTTTAAGATGGTCTTAACAGTAAATATATATTATAATTCTCTTCTTATTAACTCTGTTTTGCTGGACTTTCAGTTTTGGAGGGAGGAATGGTTTATTTCATGCCCTGCAGACCCAAGCAAGGCTATATCTGCAGTGATGACCCAACAGACTAAAACAGCAATGAGCAGAACAGTCTGTGATTGCCAGGTGATGGCACAGAAATAAGTCACATCAGAAAAAGTGGAAATGAGAGAACAAGAGAGAAATGAGAGAGACAGCTCCTGCTGTATGTCACTATGACAGTGATGGATACAACCTAACAAAAAGCATATGGCATGAATACAAGAATACTTCAGCTACAATCAAGCTTTCATTCATTTCATAAAAAGTGAAAAGCCATAAGATCTTGATCCAAACTCAATAGAAAGTGTCAGAAGAAAACTTTTTTTTTTTTTTTTCCTGATAGCTATTAATAGCACTAATCGCTCTGGAGCACAGAAGGGCTCTTGGTAATGCTTGCAATGCTCTGAGCAGTGTTCACCCACAGTGCCTTCAGACCTGCAGTCCTGGTGTGGACCTCCTGGCCTGCGTCCTGGTACTTTCAGTGAACATCAAATGGTGCAGGCAAGGATGAGACACACTTCTGAAAATCATTCCCAATTTCCACTCCAGACACCGTGCAAATAAGCTAAATTAAGTATTTATTCAATTGTTCAGTTACTAAATAAAAACTTGGAAAGGCACGTTCTTCCTCTCAGGTCTCCCAGAGGCAGCGTAGTCTCACTTACAATACATACATACATACATTTATTCTTTTTATGAAATCTAGAAAAACTCTATGGAAAAGTCCAAAACTCACCTGGGATGTCTGAGGCCTCATTTGGCCAAATGACATACACGCTGCTAGCTGTGCCTGACTACAGTGGGTGCCAGATGGGCTTCTTAATTTTCCTTCTGATTGAAACATTCTTTAAAATTGAGTTTCATGACAATCTGTCGGCAGGAGGTTACTTTATTTTCCTTTCCCACTTATGAGATGCACGTATCTGTCTCTGTGCCACAGCGTGGCCCCTGCTCACCACACACACACTGCTCGCACCTCCAACACAGCCCGTCACCTGGCACCCACTTGGCCCCGCCGCCCTCACACTGCCCGCGGCACTTCCTCCTGGCATCTCCCTAGGTGACTTCCTACACAATTGTTCTGTGTGCCCAAACACACAGACGGGACTCCAGCAGGGCCGGGACTGACCTCTGACCAAGGGCCAACGCAGCGAGCCGAAGCCCAGCCACTTGCATGCAGCACATTCCACGTCGTACTGTCCAAACACAGCATGCCATGGAAACCTGGTTGTCACGAAAAACCCGGTTTGTCCCTAACGTTAATACCACAGACCATCCCGTCACTTCTCCGCAGCGGCTGCCGCCCGAGGACACGGCACAGCTCTCCCGGCACTCCCTGCACACACACACTTCCTGCCGCTCCGTGCCCTCGTGTCACCAGCCCAAGCGGGCTGCTCTGCCGGTGGGCGACGGCCACGACCCGCTGCAGCTGGAACACAGCCCCAGCGCTGGCTCTGGGGCTCAGCTCTCCCCCGCAGGGTCTTCGGCCGCGTAGCGCGGCCAGCACCCTCCCGCACGCCGCTCCCCGGCCCCCGCCCCGCGGCTCCCGGAGGCTCCGCAGCGCCTCCCGAGGCGGTCCCGGGGCGGTTGCGCAGGCGCCTCCGGGCCGAGAGTTTGGGACGCGCCGGAAAGTTGGGTCTGGGTGTGCCGCCTGCTGTCGCCGCCACCATGTCGGGCTCCTCCAACGTGGCGGCCATGAAGAAGGTGGTGCAGCAGCTGCGCCTGGAGGCCAGCGTGACTCGCGTCAAGGTGAGCAGGGGCCCGGGGCGGCCGCGCCGCCATTACCGCTGGGGGCCGCGCTCCACGGCGCCCCCTCGGAGGTGGCCGGGCCGAGCCGCGGGGCAGGGCGAGCGGGGCAGGGCGAGCGGGGCAGGGCCGGGCCGGGCCGGGCCGACGGCTCCCAGCGCCCCGACGACCCTACTTGGCTGCGGCGCGTAGTCCCGCGCCCCGGCTGTGGCACCGGAGGCCGACCCGCGCCCCGGAGCCGCACCGGCCGAGCCTGGCCCCGAGGGCGGCCGCGTCCCTTCCCTTCGCCCGCCCCTCCCGCTTCCCCTGGGCCGGCGGGAGCTGCGCTCCGTCCCGAGCGGGATGGCCGCGCCCCGCTCTCCCCTTTCATTTCTGCGCGCTGGGAGCGTCCGCTCCCGTCGGACTGCTGCTGCCCGAGGCGGAGTAGCAACAGGTTGCTTGGCCGGCGTCTCGGCCCTGCGCTGGAAAATGGAGGCTCCGCTGCCAGGCGTGCCGAGGACGTGTCACGGCGCTCCCGGGCTGCGGCTGGGCCTTGTCTCATTGGAGGCACTCCGAGAAAACAATCAGTCTTTGTGCGTTTAACAAAGCAGCAAGGCTGTGTCTCCTCGAGACATAGCTTTTCTTTCACGTTTCATACCTAGAGGCTTTTTATCATTAAGTTTTCAATAATTTCTATAACTTACTGACTGATAAACCAGAAAACGATTGTATGACATCTGCTTAGGGTGCACTGCTAAATCACTTAACAGCGTTGTATTTCTTGCTGCAATTACATCCCCTGCACAGTCTGATCAGTGAGTGCTAACACCAGCTCCTCCTACGCCCAGGTTTCTCAGGCTGCTGTGGACCTGAAGCAGTTCTGCCTGCAGAATGCACAGCATGATCCCCTGCTGACAGGAGTATCATCGAGTACAAATCCATTCCGTCCCCAGAAAGTTTGTTCATTTTTGTAATTACGTGGACTGCTTAGGTATCTTTCAGTGGTAAGTTCTTAAAGACTCAGACTTTCTTCGGTCATTAAAAACAGCCTGCTTTAAGTGGGACTGTGTGTGTTTAAAGCATTCCAAAGAGACGTCTGACTTGTACGGCTGGTGTTGGTCTGGATCCCTGTTTTGGTCCTTTCCTCCCAGACTGGGAGGGTAACTCTGTACCAGACAGATTTTATAAGTGAGTAGTAGTTGGATGTTACAGGGTTCCAATCCGTTTCTGCTATTGTAGCCAAAGTAGTTGGGGGACAGCTGTTACTGAGCTGCTATCTAGATTAACCTGGCTGTAATGTAGCTTTGCTGCAGTTTCCTTCTATGTTAAAAGCATCATTTCCTTTTTCTCACATAGGATTAGTTGCCTGAAGGGTTATGGAGTGAATGCCAATTATAGCAGATAAAGCAGATTTTAGTTCTCAGGACTTTGTTTTTAAACTCTTAAGGAGTACTTCCCAAAGAGGTTAGGTTAGTGATGCTCTCAAAGGAGAGCCCTGTCTGCTACAGAAAATACCCTCTAAGTAAAAAGGAAATTATCAACACCCAAATTCCCCTACAATAGGCTACTACACAGATTGCAGTTTAAATAACTAGAAACTGTTAAGTACTCATTTGTACTTTCATTTTGAAACCTTCCTAGGTTCATTAACACTACTGCTGTCACTATGAAGACAACTGATGTGGCATTACCTAAAAATTCTGGTGATAAGACAGAGATCAGGTTTAGATTCACAGAAGTCTTACAAAGACTGAGTCACAGAGCTCTTCTAGAGTAGTTCTTCTGAAGTTTCTTTATTATGAATTTTATAAACTATTCATTTTTAAAAGATAACATTTCTGAACTGACTTGCCTTCCTAGTATTGTTCTTCAGCTTTAAGCAGTAATTCACATGGCAGAACAGGGTTAATATTTTTCTTAATTATTGCCCTTAAATGCCTTTTCTGAATTTGGAATAGAGCACTTCTTTTTGCTTATGGCTACAGGCAAAAGGCATTAGAATAGCAATTTAAGCTACTTGCATGGAACAGATTTTTGTTCTCCCTTTCACCTCTTGCAAGTACTTCCTCAAAACAGTGAATTTCTTCGTTGTAATCCTGCTGTTTATGAGATGAACCAATAGAGTTCATGCTTGCACAGTCTGTACCAACTGTAGAATGAAGAGGAAGTGAGATTTGTTAAGTTACCCAGATTCCCCTGCTTTTCAAAAGTGAAGTAGATTCTCAATACTTCATAGTCATCAAGCGACCAGAAACAACTTACTCTGCCCTCCTACTTAATTTGGCTTCCAGAAGATGCAGCATGTTGGTTGTTTTGTAACAGCTTTGATTATCTTCTTATACCCCCTGGGGGATGGCTTCATAGTTTTGAAAAGCTTATTTTATAATTTAAGTTCTATTAAACAACTGTAGAAAAAAAGGAATTTTTTTAAGTAGTACGCATATTCTTAAACGTAGGATTGCTTGTTGTCTTCTAACCACCTCATTTTGTTTGTTTTTCAGATCTTTTAGCATCTTTTCCTAGCTGCTGATGTCTGTCGGGGCAGAGTGCCTCAAGGAGTGGCCTGGTTTGAAGTCTGTACAAAAGCTTAGCTTTCATGTGCCAAATCTAACTGTAAAATTGCTACTGTTGTCAAACCTCTTACCATCTACCTCTCCAAAAGAACCGTATGCTATTTACAGTAATTCTGTTCATGAGGGAATCAGTTTTATATACCAAGCAAAAAATAAAAGTGTTTTGACTTAGTTTTGTGTTGAAGTTTATCTCAGAAGTTGGGATATGTTGACACCTCGTCAGCTACTGCATCATTTTTCAGCAGCTGAAGATAATCGCTAGAGCTTATCTTCAGGTGTTCTGTGGTGCTACAAATGTGCCTTGGGCTGATACTCTTAAGAACTTCATCACTAGTATGCTTAGAAGCATAGTAGAACAGGGAAAAACAGGTTTTGGCTCTTCTTTTATGATTGAACTACACAACTACAGCTAACTTTCCTTAAAGAGCAATTTGAGTCATTAGTGTACCTTTAGCCCCTTTATGTTAATACTAAAAAGCACTACTTAGGTACACAATGGAAAGAAAGTAATCCAAAAGAAAATGAATGTGCAAATCTAAGCCAGAACAAAAAGTTAATTCCACAGGTAGTATCAACTCAATTATAGTTATCACCGCTGAAAAAAGCATTAAAAGGTTCTAATGGAGAAAATCTTGTTCAGAGATCTCACCTGTTCTGAGTAAATACTTCTTGTAAGTATAAATCAGTCTGTATACAGCTTTCTCAACATTCTCTAGGCAGGATACTGGTGTTGGTTTGTTTTTTGTTTTTCTTGAAAACTAACACTTAGAGGTTTACAATATTTATTTCTTACCTGATTAAAAGGTAGAATGACTCTGTTTAGCTGCTTAACAGGGAAGAAAATAAGCTGTATATGTGAAAATATTTTATTTTGAAAATATTTTTAACAGTTTTCAGTAAACACTGTTATTTACAGTAAATCAGCAGTCATAGCAAAGCTTCAGTGATAACTGAATTACAGCCTTCTCTAACATTACTATAGATCTTCCTGCTAAACTCTGTCACGTTGGATTTAGCTACAACCACAGAAGAAATAAAAAGATGCAGTTGTACTTAAACATTAAAAGTTTCTACAGAAACAGTTCATATTTTGTCTTTCTGCAGCCAGTTACTGTTCAGTGTTACTACTAGTTGAATTTGAGATGATCCATAGTTCAAAGATACTGTCATATTTCTGGTCGTGAGCAGTTGGCAAGTAACTGTCCATTACAAGTGAAATTTTCTTCTACTTTTGTCCATTTCTCGACGCTGAAATTTAAGAAAAGTTATTAACAGCAAATTCGTACACCAGTATACAGTGACAACTCAGGCTTACACTAATGCAGTGAAATGCACTACAGAGCAACCGAGTTATTGTAGTCAGCTTTTCAAGACAAGGGAGAAATGTTGGAGATCAGTTGTTTAGAAGAGTATATACAGACAGCAGTCACAGCATCCAACACACATTATACACATCATGGCCTACATCATAAACACTAGATTTTTTCTTCTGTTATAGCTCAAATACCATGGAATTGCAGTTGATAGGCAAAGTAACTACCAATGTCATTAACTGTTAACGTAGAGTAACGTGCACTTCACCTGAAGGTGTGATGAAGTCAGTGTTAATACTGAATGGAAAGTAAGAATTAACGTTTGAGGAAATAGCTTAATTGTTTTTACATTACAGTTCTTACCCTGACCTTGCAAAAAATGTTCTTAGTCAAGCTTACTAGGCTTCCAATAACAGATAATACCAAGAGAGCATTTATCAGTTTTGCTTATATTGGTATATGTTCAAAACCTTACACAGCATAAGCAGTCATGATATACTGACACTCATCATCCTTGCTACATAGCAGAATGCTTTTACTTTACTTCTTTGACAAGAAGTAGTTCTCAGTGTTTCACTTAGGCATTTCTGTTTTGAGAACTGCACTTGAAG